CCCTCTATCCGCAACCATGATTCATCATCTACAACTGCGATATTTTATTCACTGAATTTTAACTAGTATACCAAATAAGCCTTAAGTTTGAGGAGTTCAACTTTATTTATTTTGAGAGTGGATTTGATGGTGGAGAATTTGTTGGGTTAAAAGGAATCATATGGCCCAAAGGAGAGTACAATTCAAGTATTATTGGATTCTATCTATTTAAATCTCATGGGTTGATGTTCTATTAGAAGTCAAATTTTTATCCTTTGAAGGCTGGAGATTTGATTGTTAATTTAAAAAGAGATTGACTCATTCAAAAGAAGAAAGATGGGGCTTATTTTTAAGGATTTCATCTAGTGGATTTTTGTTGGATTTTGGTTGCATTTTTCTTGTTTCTAGCTAACTAGGAATATGTATGAAGGAGAGAAAATCAGAGTTATTGAGATCATGTTTCACTGTGGATGGAGAAGTGGTTCAGATCTGATTTTTTGATTGAGTAGGAGCAGTTATGGAAGCCTATAAATTCTAATTTTGAAGACACCATTGGGTTACAAACATAGGCTTGCCCTTCAACACAAATCATTTATCTTTTGAAACTCTTTTTTCTTCAAGCATATTTTAGTTTAATCTAGCCCAGTGGTCTCTTAGTTTTAGACTATTTTTCAGTATCTTTTCTTCTTGTTTTTTTAGTCTAATAGAAGTAGATCAACGTCCTTAGTAGATTTAGTTTTTTTTTAGTAAGATTAGTTTATGTGACTTTTTCTATTATTGTGATTTGCTTTTACTAAGTTTCCCAATTGTTAGACATTCAATTTGATTTTAATTCAAACATGTCTGCAATTTCAATTAAATTTTGAGTGTTTTACTTTTCTGTTACATTTTCTAGATTTCTACCATATTTATGTTTTTTGCCTATAGTTTTAGTTTCTATTTAGCTATGTTTCCTGCACTTTATTTAGTTAATTTTCAGCACCTATCCTTAGCTTATTTTATTACTAGTACTTTAATTTAGTTTTTCTTGATACTTGTTTACTTTAAATCAAGTCCTTAACATGCTTCCAAGGCAAGTTTAAGTTCATTGTGCAAGAATTAATCCCTTATTTCTACTAATCGTTGATTCAAGCACATTACATTTTAAACGAAATTCTTCCAACAACCTTTCCATGAGGAAAAATTGAGTGACAGGAGAGGGTCATCAACGAACCCTTTTATCATAAAATTTCTGCTATTAGATGTGTCCAATAAAATTTTAAGAGTAACAACATAAAAATATTATCAAAAGTTACATACAAAAAACATAATTGACTTATATTTTGAAACAAAAGGAATAATAGAAACTCTCCGATATTTACTCTTATTTCATTAAATTCTTTATTTATTTCATAATTACCTATTTATCATAATTGTAGCCAAGGTTCATTATTTTGGTGAAAAGGGTATTTAAACCCATGTACTTTTTGATATACTTGAAATAAACCCTCCAACTTTTTTTTTTGAAATACGTGAACCCTGTGACTTTATATTGAAATAAATCAACCAACATACTTTTTTGTTGAAATAAATTAGCCCAAATCTAACAAATGGTGTCATGAAACATCAATTTATTGTGAAACCCCATTATTTGTTGTTAAGACAATGTTTACTTGGTACATGTGAGACCCGATTTAGTGACATGGTATTTACTAACATGATGTGGACTATTTTCTAGCCAACATGGCCTTGTGATTGTTGACTTTGACTAATTTATCTCCCCAAAAACTTTAAATTGGGGATCTAGGGTTTTTTCCTCTGTGAAATCCATTTTGTCCTTCAAAATGTTAGTTTTTTCTTCTCAAATCTATTTTTGTTCGATCAAAGGTGTTCTTAGATCATGGGAATGCTAAGTATATGTACAGATCTCTTTCTTTTTTTCTTGGTGCAAGTATCAACATGATGAGCTATGGTGGAATTAAGTTGACAAGCTTTGTTGTGGCAGTGGTCGGTAGGCACTACTTCTCTATTGCAACCATCTGTACCTTGTTTAACAAGGTTGCCACTGCTTGGATTAGGGCCCCAGTCGTTTGTTTACGGTACAAAAGCACCTTGGCCTTGAGTGATAAGGAATGGCAAGAGGAAATGTGTATAATACTAGGGATTATTATTATTATTATTATTATTATTTTAAAATTTAAATAAATTATTTAAGCCCTTAGTGGATGTACATGTGATAGAATTAAATTTGGGGTTAAAATTATAATGAGGTGAGAAACTTAGGGACTAAAACCTTGTAGTTAAAGTTTAGGACTAAGTGGTAATATTCCCTTTTCGTGAAAACCCCAAAATCAAATTGGGTCGGTAGTCCAGTCGGCAGTTTCGTCTTTTTTGTTCTTTCTTTCTTTTTGGGAAACAAGTTTGATTTCTTTCTCTGGCCAGCGAGGGGGACTCTAGGGACCTACCATATTAGACTAATTGAAGGTAAATTGTCTTCTTAAGTTTAGAATTTTGATGATTAAAAGAATAATGAGGGATTGATTTTACTATAATAGTTGATTTTGGAATTGATTTTAAAATTGTGAATTTGAGTGAGAAATTTTGAGATTGTTGAGATATAGCAAAAGGAGGGGAAAAGTTACAATATTTAAGGTTGCATCACGTGAATTACATATTATATTTTGTATATGAGACAAGGATTTGTACAGTGGGTGTGTTTTAATCGGAGGAAATTGTGATGGTGGGTGCACATACTAAACTGAGTGAAAAAGTAGGACATAGGTGACATGAGAAATTGAAATTAGTTCCTATAATGTTTAAATAGCACTAGTTAAATTCTATTTAGTGATTGAGTTATATTTATTTGCTATTTTTCTTTAGGCTCCGAGTAATTGTGTGGAATTGCAATTGAAAGATAGTTATTAAGGTACGTAGCTATACCTTCCAGTGTTTTTAAAATAAATCAATATATTTAAATGGGTTTTGTCCAAATTTGATTTATTTATCTATTTGATTATTTGTTCATCTATTTCTTAGAGAATGATTTTTACTAAATATTTTTAATAATGGAATGAGATGATTTGTGGATCAAGTATATTATTTTTATTTAAGTTTGAGATGAGATTGTGGCCATGTGGAGGTGGCTAATTTAAATTTGTTTTCTCCAATATTATTGAAATTGTTATTTTTGGAACAGTTTCTTTTATTTGTCCTGGTTAGATGATTCACCCTTGTGAGGGTTGAGTTGTTGGTATTGTGATAGACCCGGGATCTATGGATTGTGAATTCTGGATTGTGGATTGTGGATTGTGGATTGTGTATTGTGTATTGTGGATTGATGATTGAGTATCATTGATCGTGGATTGTGGATTGTTGCACAACCATAAGGGACGAATAATGAAATATTTTGGTTTCGAGGAAAGAATTGTATTTTTTTTTTTTATCATTTCATTTTCAATAAAAATTTAGTTTTAAATTTTTATGCTTGATTGTGATGGATGGGTATACTACTTACGGAATTCTTAAACTCATGTTGTCAAATTTCATCTCATTTCAAGTGAAGAGGTATAAGCATTGGGATTTGCATGGGGATTGAGAGATCATTAGAATAAATTGGCAGAATTTAGCAATAGCTCAATTGGAAGTTTATTTGGTTTTATAGAATAAGATGTTAAACATTTATATTTTGGTTAAGGGATTTGATATTGTTATTTGGAGACTATTAAGATTTGTTAATGGAATTGTTTATTTTAAAATTGTAAGGAAGATTGTATTAATAGCTAAGGAAAATGGCCTTACACATTTATAGGGTTAATCTATAGATGTGTGGCATTTGTTATGCTTAAACGTTTGGGTTGGGGTGTGACAAATTTTGTAGTGTCAGAGCTTAGGTTTGGATGACTAGGGTCAAGTTAAGGATTTTAAATTAGATCGATGGTAAGCAAGAGTTGGGTAGATAATAGAAGTGACATATTCGCATACTTTATCGATATAAATATATTTTTATGTATACATATATTTTTAGCATGATGGTTGATTATTACTTAGAGAATTAATTTTCTCCTTTCTAATTTTGATAGCACCCCACAACAATGCCTCCTAGAAGAAATGCCAAGTCTGTGGCTAGTCAAGGAATTGGCCTCCAACGAGGGAGACCACCCCAAGCTAGGCAAGTTGGGTTAGATGGAGGCATATCTACTGGTATACAAAGTGAGCCAGTGAATTTGAATGTGGGAGGAGGTGGTGATCGAAATGAGTCCCATAATTCATCTACTGGGAATCATGATCAGCAGAGGATTAATGATGATGGAGGACAAATGGCACAACAAGACCAACCTACTGTTAGAGATTTGATGCAAGCTTTTGTAGATGCAATGTCAGGGTCAAAATGTGGATTGACAGACTTTGTCAAATTAACAAAACCTTTTGATGGTTCCTCCACTGATCTTGTTGTAGCTGAGGACTGGATTGATGATATTGAGAAAGCTTTTAAGGGGAAGGGTGTGTTGGAGGAGCAAAAGGTACCATTTGCTGCTTATATGTTGAAAGGGGATGCCAACAATTGGTGGAAAATAGAGGAGCGTATTCTTACTGCTCCAATAACATGGGAGAAATCCAAGGAGTCTTTTTATAGAGATTTTATCCCTAGCAGTGTAAGGGTTGAAATGCAGAGAAAATACTTCAATTTGCAACAGGGCAATTGTTGACGACCACTTAAGATTTTTTTCAAAACAATGAAAAAATATTAAGTGTAAAAATATAAGAAAAGAAAAGGGAGTTGCCACTTGTTCAAATTATAAGATGTGACAAGTCACTTAAAACGGGTTTGTGTAGAGATTGGAGTTTGGGGGCTCGGTTAGGAGTGAGGAAGGGCATATGTGCACTTCATAATCCTCCATTTAAACACGGTTGCATACTTTAAAATTGGGGTTTTAATTCAACTTAGTCATTATCTGTGTTTAAGTCTTAACATTTTTTATTTTTTTTATTTTTTTTAAAAAAGAATAAACCAAATTGAAACATTTTTTAATTTTTGGATTAAAATAGACCAAATCAAAAACATACATACACAATAACATGAACAAGAAGTTAAGGGACTAACTTGATTAAATTCGAAAGATGAAGGACTGATTTGATTAAATTCAAAAGATGAAGGACTAACTTGATTAATTTCACATTTCTATCAACCATTTACATTGTTGTCTAGTTACCTAAATTCAGTTTCTACTTTGTTAGCAAGTGTATGTTTCGACCTTTAGTTGTAATTAATTTTTCTTGAGTTTTCAAGTAAAAATCTTAGTTTCATTTAATTTCTATAGGTAGATAGTTCTTTACGTTTTTGTTAGCTTCAATTTACATTTTTGCTAGTATTCTTAGTTTCCAATTCTAACTAAGTTTTAATATTTTTATCGCACTTTTAGTTTAATGTTCTTCTATTACTTTTGTAATACCCCAAAATTCCTAGAGTATTAAAGTAAGTTAGGGACCTAATTGTGAGGAAATATCATTAATGAATGTAATAGCAAAAATTTTCAAACGTTGGGGGACCTAAAAGAAAGGAAATTAGGATAAGGATGGCTGAGTTGTTCTTTCTTTTTCTTCTTCCTTATCCGCGCATCTGCTCTTCTTTCTTCTCCCCTGCACCCGACAAGCCCCCCCTAGCCACTGACGCAATCCTCTTGAGAAATTCGGCAAAAAGGCTTGAATTTTCCTCTTCTTTTCTTGTTAAATCACAAGATTTGGGGCTTAGAATCTTCCCTCTCAACCCAGAAAATCCCGGTTCTGCTCTGCTCTTCTCCCATGTCCGCCGCCTGCTGTGGGTTTGAATTTCTGGGCATTTTTCGGGTAAGCCACAGCCAAGAAATCATCTCTTTAACCTTGATTTAGGCTGGGTTATGCTAATTTCTGTTTATTTCCCTCAATTTTTTTGGGTAGTCCGTGAGTTCCCTGCAGCTTGCCGCCGGCTTCTTCTTCCCCTGCTAGCTCTGGTTCTTGCTGGAAAATTCTGGTATGATGGCCACTTCTTTAAGCCCTAAATTAGCCATTTAATTGCTGCCTTGTGTGTGTCCGAATTGTGCCGGAAATGGGGAGGAATTCCGGTAGCATTAGTAGCATTTCAAATGTGTTTTAAGCTTGATTAAGTAGAATTTAGCTTGA